GGTTACCAACCAATCATCATCGTCCATAAAATACAGCAGTTATTGCATACGAAGTATGCAATAACTATATAGTATTTCATTCAGACAATATCTGGAAGGAGGATGCAGTAATACAATACAAAAAATACATAGTGTGCCATAGTACCCCCAACCTGAAAAAGTATAGTTTATCGACAATTACGCGACAACCACTTCCCCGACAGATAACCATTTCACCGACAATCATGACCATTTTCCCAATCACGGCATGCTGAGAAATGGTCATATTTGTCGTGGAAGTGGTTGTCAGGTAAATGTTGGTAAACCAAAAAGTATATCAGTTTTTTAAAAGTTAAATTTCGGAGTTAAGTGTTCCATAATATCTTTACTATCTAATCGATCAATTAAATACAAGATCAGTCGTCAATATGTCATGCATTCTGTTTGGTTTAGTGATGCCGACTAACGTTTTAACATCACTATGTTTTGGGTTTTATCACGCGATAAATCTGATTTTAACATATAACGTAGTTAAAAATTGTTAAAATAAAAAAAGATATAACTGTAGCTAAAAATATTGATTAAAATTAACCTATCGTTATGATCAAATTACGTAAAAGTCAAACCACTGTATTATAAATTAGAACATCAAAACAATTAACAATTCTTTACTTATTTCTATAGGGATTTCAGAATTAACTTTTTTCAAACTTATTTTATGTACGTACGTACGATTTTTAAATTTTTTGGGCCTTTTTCGTTAGGTTTTTTTTTATAGTTAAGTTAGGGTTTAGGGTTAGAATTATTAAGAAAAGAGTAGAAGTAGATTTTGGTAGAGCTTATATATTTAAATTGAGACCCCTAAATTTCACAATGATCTCATTATGATCTGCAACAATGAATATTTAAATTTCATAGTAAAATTCGAATGAATATACTTCTAACTAATAAGAATTTATCTCGTTCATCTGTTTGGGCTTAAGATTATTACAATAGCATTGCTAACCAAACTAGTGATGCCGACTATACTCATGATAAACCTTGATAATATAAACTATCCGCGTGATAGGTTAATACTATTTATTTTGTGAAAACCATCAAAATATAAACGTTATATACTTGCGATAAAACAATAAAAATTTATTTGAGCGTATTTTACAATGAAATAAAAACCGAAAAATTTATTTAACATATTTACAACGAATAAGAATTTGAATTATTATTTCGATTATGATATCTTGCCAATAATTTTGTATGTCCTCTGGACAATTAGAACATTCATTTACTAAATGTAATTCCATTATGGTTGGTATTCCTCTTTGACAATACTTAGAACAATATTTGCATCGGGCAGAATAGTAATTTCCAATTTTTTTCATCAATATCTAGTAGCACTCAAATTATTATTCGACATATTGTGTTTTAGAATTTATGATTCGACGTCCGATTTTAGATAAGTAATTCATTTATTTCAAAAGAATCGAGGTACAAATTCTATTTTTACATAATCGCTTACCGGTGAATGTTTATCAAAAAAAGCCAATTTTATCATCGGTTATGCCTATTTAATTTTCTGGTTCGGAATTCTAAAAGGATCTGCCACAATTTTTGTGTTTGGGTTGCTTAAAAATCCGTTCATATGTATTTCCTCAAATTCTCCGATCAATATTCAATAAATATAATAAATATTTGAATATTCATTCGAAATTTTCTGATATTAAAAGATTAAACGAATGAATATTCGAAATACTTCTTTTTTACCGGATCAGACTTCTGCATAGTAAATCTGTCTAGAGTTCCGAACCGGATTGCACAAACTCGAGTGAACCGAGTTCCTGATTAACACGGAACGGAACACGTGATATACATTATATCACAATGACGATAACTTATATAAAATAAAATGTGGAATACTTTTTTCAGTTAATATTAATAATGTTATAATACAATTAATAACAATAGGTAAGTTTCACATTAAAATTTTTGTAATTCAAAATATTTAGAGTGAGATGATAAAAATTATCTTTGAGATTTACATACTATATCCATGAAAAAAATGAAAATTTCTGATCACAACTGTTTGTTTGTTAACAATGTTTATTGAATTTAAAGTAAATGCTAATTTCTACAATTAAGATTTTGTATGTTTAAAATTTAGGAAAATTAAAAAAAAAAACTATCGTCATAGTAATAATTTTTTCATTTACAAATTGTGAACGAATTACAATTATATACTAAGTCTTTATGAAGTTTATAAATTCGTAAAGTCTAGACATTGAAAGTAATTATTAATTATAATATGAACTCTATTATCTATTGGATGTATTTAACGTTATTTGGTACTGCTATTTCTAATGCTTGCTGAACATCTGCTATCTATAAAAAATAACAAATAGTATTATTAGAATTCGAATTCGAAAAAAAAATGAAGACAAGAGAAAAAATCTTGATAAAAATTACCAGATCAGTAACTTCTTCTATACCCACAGATAATCTTATTAAATTATCAGTAACACCAACAGTCTCTCGGTGTTCTGGAGTAAGAGATGCATGTGTCATTCTTGCAGGATGTTCTGCTAAACTTTCTACACCTCCCTATTATATTAAATTATTCCGTAAAAAAAAAAAATAAGAAATAAACTCAAAAAGAGAAAAAAATTAAGAGATAAAAATAGAAAATAAAATATACCAATGATTCAGCTAATGTGAATAATTTGATACTCCGTAGAAAAGTATCGGCAGCTTCAAAACCACCTTTAATTCTAAAGCTTAGCATTCCTCCAAAGCCTCTTGTTTGTTTCTTTGCTAAATCATGTTGTGGATGACTTTCCAACCCGGGATATATAACTTCTTCAACTTTATCACTACTCTCCAAAAATTTAGCAATAGTCAAAGCATTTTCTTGATGCTGCTTCATACGTACATGTAAAGTTTTTAATCCACGATTTGCCAACCATGAATCAAAAGGTGAAGGTACAGCACCAATAGCATTTTGTAAAAATTTAACTTTTTCATAAATTGTTTCGTCATTCATCACAGCTACACCCATTACCACATCAGAATGTCCATTTATGTACTTGGTGACAGAATGTACGACAATATCAGCACCAAGTTCTATAGGATTTTGAAAATATGGACTCATGAATGTATTATCGACTACAAGGATGGCACCATGATTATGAGTTATTTGGGCGACTTTCTGAATGTCAATTAGGCGAAGAGTAGGATTTGTTGGAGTTTCAACCCATACAATCTAATAATAATTTAACATAATTAATTATATATTTCTCTTTTTTTTTATATATTTATATTTACAAGTGTAATCTGCAGCACAGAAAATAAAAATACCTTTGTATCTGGACGGAAAACAGGTTCGATATTTTGAGGGTCAATCAAATCAACAAATGTTGTACTGATTCCTTGAGTACTTGCAACTTTAGAAAAGTATCGATTTGTTCCTCCATAAACATCGCTCACTGATATAATATGACCACCAGTTCCAATAGTTGTGACAATGGTAGCAGTCGCAGCAGATCCTGATGAAAATGCAATACCATATTTTGCTTTTTCTAATGATGCAATTGATTGTTCAAATGCGCTTCTCGTAGGATTGCTCGATCGAGAATATTCGTAACCCTATAAATAAAATGAATAAAAATAATGTTACCAAAGGAAATATTTCAATGCCAACTTTGTATTCACTTCAAGAGAAAATGGATATATACCTTATGAGCACCAATTGAAGATTGTTTAAATGTAGTCGATAAAGATATCGGAGGGATAACAGCACCAGTGTATGGATCAGGATCTTGCCCTACATGAATAGCTCTTGTGCCAAACCCTTGTTCTGCAATTAATGGTACATCATTCAATTCACTATGACCGTTTGAATATGATCCATCATGAACACCATTTAATTCATGATAACCATTTGTAGACGATCCGTTAAAAATTTCGCCTTCAGTAATGAGGTTCGGTGTCATTTTTATTTATTGAAAAAATATGATCTGAATTTTTTGATATAAAATTTGAAAGGAATTTATTATAAAGAATTAATTGATTGCAAAGAATTTATTGTTGTAAAGAAGTTTTGGATCAATCTTTTTTGCTATCTGTACTGCCAGTTAGAGGTAACATCCGAGCAATATTTATATTTTTCATATCTAAGTGGATTATTAATAAATCGAATTGTTAAGAACTATAAAGATAATGATACAAATCATCATAGAAATTGCGTGATCGAGAAACAGTTCTGTCATACATACGTACATGAAAATATATATATTAATAATAATTATATACTGAATTATGTTGAAGCATAATGATAATCGAACCTTAGCATTTTTGTTCATTCATTTACGTCATTCATGAATACATAATCGTGTAACAATCTTATTGTTAGGATAACGTTACTCTTCATGCAAAAATTGATTGCTTATTCGTTCATATATACAATTAAAGGTATAATGTATCAGTATCGAAAATCCCGTTAAAACTTTTTATCTTGGGAAATTTTTAAATTGTTTTATTTAAATAAAGGACTTATATTGATAAATATTATGGTACCCATGTGAGATAAATACGGTCCTGAAACACCGATAGTGTTAACATTCGTGTGATCTTCATCAGTATTTTGTTTTCGCCTAAAGTCGGGTAACTTAATGTCTGCATGAAAATAAATGTATTTATAGAGATTCAAAATCGGTCGGATTTTTAAGTCCATAAATATTTTTATTATAAAAAAAAGGTTATATTTTATGCTATGTAAACCTAAATTTCAACTTCGCATGGTCTAATGGACAGCTACATTAGGTGTAATGCCTATATTTTTTTTTTGTGTTTTATTAACTACTTGGCTTTAGCGCGCTCCTGGTTACAAGGATGATCATAAATTTGACCGACAAAATTATTAATCATCATCCGAGGTTCGGCATTATCCACGCCCATTTCTTCTAATACCATCAATGTCGCAATGTCAATCTGAAAATGTCAGAGGATTAGTAATTTACACATAAAAATTAACCAATCAAATTACAAAATTTTAATTTTGCCGAATATAACAACAGAATTGGAAAACAATTATAATTTTACTATTTTGACCTTTTTAAGCTTAGCATTTATCGTTATCGTTATGTGTTCCAATTAAACTGATGATTATAGAAGGTATTCCATTAATCTCATATGCGTCACTAAACTCATGAATGAAAAGTTATTGGAAACTATATACCATAAATTCTCAACAAGGCATTTTCGAGTTCAAACCCAGATTTTTACGTACTATATTATAGACCCCGGTACGTTACACAAAGTTGTGCGTCATTTTGGGCGTTATTTAGAAACTACACTATTTTTAGATGACGCAATTTTGAAATAATGCGATTCGTCAACTACATTTATTTAGTGTCAATCGCTTCTTAATCGTCCTTAAAGTCAAGAATAATATTGACAGCCTTTCAAAATCTACATCTATGGGTATACTAATAATAATAAACAAGCAAAAAATTTTAGTACTGTGGCACTTTATAATAGTAACAACACATTTGGAAAAGTTGTCTTGCAACCTGATTTATCAACTTAAAAACCTGTGATTAGTGATAACAAAACGGCTCTGTAGAGATAGGCTTAGCCGAGCTAATTAACGGCACGGCTAATTAACGGCTCAGCTTGTGTTACGTGGAGCTGATTTAGAGCAGGGATACGGAAATTACGTGATTTAGGGTGTTCTCAAGCTGCACGCTCGATGTGACTAGCTAGTGATCGTAATAGTGCACAACCTCTATGGCGTTAT